GTTCCTTTAGCTCTGGCTCCCCAAACATTCCTAGGAAAAGTAGAAGCCTGGCAATACGGTTGTGGCCCCAGAATGTGCTGCACCTTGGCTGTGTTTCATCTAGTGCCTTGGGAAGTTTTTAAGGTTTTGTGTCTTTTTAAGTCCCTCAAGTAGTTAGGGTCACAAGGTTCTCAAGCAGTGGCTTTCTTGTCTTTTGCTGAGAAACTTTCTTAGTGTGATTAAAATTTAATCACATTTTCTGCAACCCTCCCAAATTTATGTGACATCCAAATGTATGAACTTCATCTGGCAATCAGTATCAATTGCTTTAGCCTAACCAAAAGCCCTTTCCTCTAGTTAAAAGTGTGTGATCCAGTCAGCAAACAGGGAATCAGTATTTTTCTTTCACTCTGAGGTGGAAACTGCTCCAAGCAAGTAACTGTGACAGCAGGTTTCATCTTGATTTCTTCCTCCTGGATGCACAAATTAATTCTCACATTTAGTCATCCTTCTCAGGCAGGATTTCTCATTAATATATATGGTCTTTTGGACTTTCAGTTAATGTTGCTTTTCTGCTGGTGGAGGAGAATCACTAAAGAGCGGTCTGTATAGATGATGAGGGCTAATCAATATTAATTTCAGAGAAAGTTGTATATTCATGGAGACCATACTCATTATGACTCACCAAATCCAGAACTGTGTCTGTGGATCCTAAGATGGACTGGGCCTTCTCCCTGATTCTACCCTCAAACCTCACCAGAAACTCATTGTGTTAACCTCTATCTGTGTTAAAACATTGGAAATTCACTGTCTGATTAATATATTTATATTCTATCAGCAGTGATGACTTAAAAAAAAAATCAGTGCCTATAGGATTTCAGAAGCTACAACTAACACAAGACAGTAATGTTGTGTCCTTTTTAATTCCCCTATCCTTAAAGGGGGAGAACAGGTACTTTCATGCCCAATGTCATTATTTAATAATGTAATAAATGGACACTGAGGAAAAAATGATCTACTTAGTGTTCTGCATCTTTAAAGATTAAATTTTGTTTAATTGGGACATCCATAAACATATACAATGCTTCACCATTTCAAGAGTCAGGCTATAATTTCAGCTCTTGTCTTATTTCTATGTGTATGATGGCCAAAATCATGGATCTGGGTGCCAACAGAGTCTAGCTGTACTCTACCACTTATTGACAGATCATTTGTTTGACCTCTAAGATGTAGCATCTGTAAAATGAAGAGGACATTACCCATCTCAAAGGATTCATTGTGAGAATCAAATGAAATAATTGAAATAAAGTGTTCAACACTATGCCCTGACACATCATAAATGCACAATAAATATTAGCTAGTATTAGGTTCACTCATTATCTTTCCTAAATGAAAACATAAGACCTTTCCTACCTTGTCTGTGATTTGACAATTAGTTTAACATTACTAAACATGTATAATAACAGCAGAACTTAAAAAAAAATATCGTATTATGACATTGTTCCTCTTTTAGACTCTGGGTAAAACATGCATTCACCTTTCACCACCCCCTCATGGTTCAGAAGAGTTGCTATCCATCTTATTATCAGTAGTCATCAAGGCTTCCTTTCTCCCGCAAGGTAGGGCAAATTTTTGGTTCAGTATTTAGAGCTCTTTTCTGGCAATAACAGTTTCAAACTTGTAATTATCCTTTTTTCCCACTTGAATGTCTACAGTGGATTGAAGAGAAAAAAGAAGTCTTCCTGTCCCTTGTCTGAGCTGTGAAGTTAGAACACCTGGGTTTTTGTCTGTGTCTTGCCACTTGCACCCAAAGTTCCTAGAACAATTTTCTGAATAAATGTACTGGCGACTCATCATGCCTCTCAAGTCTTTAGTTAGGGCAGATCACTGTCTTCTAATTCTACACTGCTTCTTCTGGAAATTCAGGTGGACCATTTTAAAAACTATCTCTGCCAGGCCTTTGGAAAAGTGGAGAGCTTGGTAGCCAAACTCCTCGTGAAATTGTCCAGCTGGTTTCCTCCAAGTGGTAACTTTCTGCATAGACACAAGTGCCCTTGTGAAGTCCTTGTTCAGATTGTCTGTGTTTGTCATTTCTTACTTCTCCCCAAATACCATCGTTCTCCGAATTGAGGCTCATAACTAGAACCTTTCTCTTTACATTCTATCCTAAATCCTTTGTGGAAGGCCAACCTCACAGACACGTGCAAGAGGTGGTCTCTTTGGGAGACAGAGCATAACCGTCAACTAGGTCCCAAATTGTCGCGACCCTTCAGGGACCGAAGCAACACGCCCAAGGTCTTGATTCTTCTCTAGGCTTTATTGTCTAATCTCTCATGGTGGTTACAGCAGTTGTCGGGAAGCTTTTCTCCCTCCCGGCGGGCTCCCTTATATTCAGTCACCCAACCAATCCGGGACAGTATCATGCGTGACCTTTAAGCGGATAGGTGTCACGCGCCACTCTAAGCGGGCAGCACGAGCTGTGCACGGGTACGGAAGTCTGCTGGGCCAATCCCCAACAGGGAAGAGGGGAAAGGGTGGTGAGCAGGAAATGGGTGCCATCTTTACGGCGTTGTTCAGCTAGAGTGGGGCTCAGCCTCGGCCATAGGCCGGGCCCCCACACCAAATAAAAGCAAAGTGAGGTCTCAGGCTCCATTTTGCCAGTTCCAAGTTGAAGGAAGATGAATTGTGGTATCTCCAGAGATAAGATCCCTGAGAATTGTTTTTTCCTTTGTTCTGGATCTAAAGCTGGAAGCACATCTTTCCCACCCAATACGAACTAATGAACTGATGCAGCTGCCCCACAGCCTGTAGTCAGCACGATTTCAGGAAATTTAGGGCAGAACCTGAAGGGGAATTAGACTTACAACTGAAAGTTCAGCTGCATTTCACATAAAGTGTGGAACCTCACCACCCACGTGTAGTCCCCTCCAGGAAATGCTATTTCCCCTTCCAGGAAACAAAAGTGTGGAGAAGTTCTGAGCATCCGTCGTGTTTATAAAACAGTGAGACACTGTTTCATATAAAACAGAAATGCCTTGTAGCCTGTGGAAGAAGGCTGTCAGAACTTCTGGAGTCCAAAAGATCTAGAGGTGTCTGTAACACCTATCATGCAACAAAAACAGATTTGGATTTTTTTCTTTTAGATGAGATTCAAGATAAAAAAAAAAAATCCCCTTTCTAGCCAAATGACTTTGTTTTAAAAATATTGTTTTTAAAAAATCCAGTCTTCAGATGAGTGTGTTCCCAATCGTAGGAATGTGTGGTTATGGAACAGGAGAGTAGCGTGGATTTCCAGGGACTAGTTGTCCAGAAGAGAAGCTGCAAGCAGAGGGCATGATTGTGGAATGTAAGCAGTGTTCAACAGCCCTCAGGGGGCTGCTTCAGACTGGCTGGAATTTTGAGTCCTGGCTCTGTAACTTCATTAATTGCAGTATCATGAACAAGCTGTATAATCCTGCTAACCGTCGTTATTCTCATCTCTAAACTAGAGGTGAGGAGGATGAGGATGAGGATGATGATAAGGTTGTTACCAGGATTAAATGAATAGTGCATCAGAAGTGCTTATCATAATGCCTGGCATATAGGTACTTAGTACATGATCATCATCATTTGAAACTTTTTTTAGAGCCACTGACTAGTGACTAAATTAAGGGACATATGAATTTCCTTTGAGTCCCTATATGTACTGAACTTTCTCAAATAGTGAAACCTCAGCCATGGGGAATGAGTGGTTTTACTGTCTCTAGGCACCACAGCCATTGGCAGCTGGCCATCTCTTCTCATTTAGGAATGTCTAGAGAGGAAAAAGGAGGACGAACGGCATCATGAACTAGGTTTCTTGGCAGTCTGCAGAGAGAGAAGCTGGGCCTCACAGGGGTGTCTACATGCCAGGCTCTGATGAGGTCACTGAGCCTGAACATCTGAGATGCTCTTCATCCTCACACCTCTTGGCTAGGCTCCCAAGAGGCGGCAGCCTCTCTTTTTGGATGAATCTGGTCTGAGGGTCAGTTCCATGCAGTTAGATCTTCACAAATGGGGAACCGGGGCACAAATTTTCAGGGAATATATTTTTATCTTTAAAAGGCTCATGTGTCTGCTTCGCTGAGTTCAAATAGATTAGGAGAAAGAGTCAGCATTATCTGCCTTCCTAGAACAGACCTACCACAGGCAGCAATGTGAATTAATCAAGTCACCAAATCTTTCTGAGCCTCAGCTTTTCACCTTCAAATCAGAAGTTTGGAACTAGCTGTAGTGTGAGGAGGTCCTTTCCAGCTGACACTTTACTTTCAGGAGCAAAAGCCTGCTGACCCAAGGTTTGGTTCTTTTATACCTTAGTAGTCTCCCCCCTCCCTCAAACAGGATTGTTTTATTTCTCAGACTAATCTGGATATTACAGTAACAAAAGCCTTAACCAAGAACATTTTAATCATTTAGTGTCGTAACCGAACGAGAACAGCTCTGTAATAGTATTGGTAGCCAGATTTAGTTTTCAAACACAAATGAAATATTAATTCTATGGAGCATAGGAAAACCCACCCCAATTATGCTCATCACGCTCATTAGTACCCTCGACAAGGCGTAAGTCTTCAAATGACAAATGCCCTGTAGAGACATTACATTGCAGCTTCAAGGGCTGGCCGGTTTAAAGAAACGCAACTTTGGAAATCATATACAAATGACAGTGTGCTAGCCACGATCAGCTGCCGGACGTACAGCATGGAAACCTCCCCCTGGAGGTAATTTTAAAAGAACGTTTTTGGCAAGTCCTTTCTAATGCAAAATAGACGGAAGAGCGGCGGTGCTTTTCTCTCTTTTAGGAATCAGGGTCGCAGGCCGGCTTTTACCTGCGCCCCGGGCGCGGGGCAGGGAGGAGGGAAGGGGAGGGGACTCGGGGCGGGGAGGAGGGCAAGGGGCGGGCATCCCGGGAGGGGGCGGTGCCGGTGCGGCGGGCGTCCGGGTAGCCGGCTCGGGCGGCAGGCGGGGGGTGACGAGCGCCCCCTGGCCGGAGCCGCCCCGCCAGCGCTCGCCGGTGTCCCCGCCAGCAACCCGGACCCAGCGGCCGGCGTCCCCGCCGCCGCCCGGACCCAGCGCCCTAGCAGTGTCCCCGCCAGTGTCCCCGCCTCCGCCCGGACCCGGCGCCCACCTGCAGGTACGTGCTTCCACCTCGCTCGCCTCCAGGAGGTAGGACGGGTCCGCGCGGGGGCCCACCCGCGTCGGCCTCACACGCTCCAGGAAGGGGGAGCCGGGTGACCCCGAAGTCGTGCGCGGCAGACATGGTCCCTGGTTTCGAGGGTTTCTGGCGCGCTCCGCGCAGGATGCTGCGGACCCGGCCGTGGGCCCCCGGCTGGGCCGGCGCCCCTTCTCCCGTCTAACTTTTCCCCTCACCTGGACTAACGCGGTGGGCGGGAGAAGGTGGGGAGCTGTATATTCTTGGCAAACCTCCGTAAGGAGAGAGATTTGATGCAGATGGCACCTGTCCACAGGGGAGAACAACTTGCTTTGTTGAAATTTGCTCGAGCAGCAGACAGCGCCGCCAACACTCAACAAAACCAAGTTTCTTTTCAAAGGCCTGGGGTAGAGTGATGTGGGTCTTTGATAGATACCCAAAAAAAAAAAAAAATGCCGGTGCTCAATCCTGTAACCTTGAGTGAAGTGGTTTTTCGGCTTTGGGGGCCACGTGAGAAGAAAGTAAAGTTAAATATCTTTACTTCATTGGATTTTTAAGAGCCCCAATTATCGACGTGAAATGGACAGATCACGTCGAAGGCTTGGGCACTCCCCGTGGGCACGAATGAAGAGAGGCTCCAAGGCGGCCCCCCTGGGAGATCTGGCGATCTCTGCAAGGCCACTGCCCACTGAGTTGCCTTGCCCTGGCGGGTTGCCCTGCTCAAAAACGTGCTAATGAAAGGTTATTCAGTAATGGCACAAACTGTGACCTGGAGGGAGAGGAATGGAAACTGGCCGCCGTCTTCTGTCCGGGTGAGAAGGAACCATCCTCCAGCATTGTGCAGCCCCGCAAGGGCCAGGTTCCTGATGAACCCGCCGACCTGCCGGGTGGTGTGGCTCCTGTCATTGCTCTCCAGAAGCTGTAACCACCACCTGTTCTTTCCTGGCCGGAGCCCTATTTGCAAGGTCCTAGGTCCTCCTACCTGCCACGCCAACCTTGTGAATCACCATCTTCCTTTCTTCTCTATCTTTTGTTACTCTTGTAAAATGGCAGGCTTGCAACGGATGCTTAATCTCTTTTTGAAATGCTGTGTCTAGTGGGAAGGAGGATGGCATTTACTAATTTGGTTGCAAATTACTGTTGAAGTTTATGCACAGCTGTTTAAAAATTCCTCTGAGATTGGGGGCCATTGTTTGATGCAGGTGTCTGCAGATTGATTTTGTTAGTCTCCTGCTGCTGCTGATTGAACGCACATATATTTAAAGATGCAGCCCAGGAAGAGCTTGTAAAACCTTCAAAGCCTTAGCTGTGAAACTCCTCGGAGTTAGCGAATAAGTCTAAATTAAGTTGTTTTGTTTTGTTTTCTCATAAACTTTTATCTCTGATTTCAAAAGTAACCTGTTCGGCATCACCAGACTTTGTTTGAGCCTCCTGTGATTTTTTTGTAAACTTTTAAAATGTGAACTTCCAGGGTGGACCCTTGTCACCACCCTCCGCTTTGTCATGTTCACTTCCGTCGCTGGCTTGTGCTGTGGTGGCTCAAGATGGCAAATATCTCTCTTGGGCAAACTTTCTGTGTCCGTTTTCATAGCAGGCCCATCTCCCTGCAGCAGAAACTCCCATTGAGTCTGCTTTGAATATACCTGGGCCAGTTACTGGAACTTTGATTCCTGTGCTGCTGTCCCACTGCTCTCTCAGGGGCACAGGGGTACCAGCTATTCATACCTCAGTCCTTAGAATCTCAAAGCTCCCTTTCAACACTAAAACTTGATTCCCTTGATCAGAGTAGGTACTGGAGGCCCCCTTGAATGCCTGTTTATCTTTGGTCTTTTCTGTAAAGATCCCTCATTCTATTGTAAATGTAGTCTTTCTTCTCTGGAAAAGATGAAAATCATCCATATAGTGAATTTGATGTTTTAACCTAAAATTCCCGTGGACAGGGTCCAGGATTTTCTTTTGAGAGGTGCAAATCTTATGTAAGATTATGGTACAAATCTGTAACAGGCATTCACGAGTTAAGCTCCCCCAATCTTATAATGCAGAATTTAATGAGAGAACATTTGTCTGCCTTTAAAATAGGAATTAGAGTTACTGTTTCCTGCTTTTAATGCATATCACATTTTAGTTACTGATTATGTTGTTTGCCCTGAAAATATTGCTGATATGGTATATTAACCTAATGGGACAGTTAATGAGTGTGTTTGATTTCAGGTGATTTCCCATGTTTATATAGTGTTTATTCTTTAATTTTTTTTTAAGTAGCTTTCCCAAATCATTTAAAACAACAAAAAAAATTGTTATGTGATGAACCATCCTAGAGCACACAGATGTCTCATGTGATTCCATATTTATATACTTCATTGCCCCAAATCAAATCTGGGATTAAAAGAAAGGAAAGTAGTTTTGTGGTGACATCCATAGCATTAAACTCACTCTTTCTGTTTCTGTCCATTATTTTAAGTGTCTTGTTGTCAAGCACCAGTGCATCTAGCTTTGCTTTTTCACACTTCTTTTAGATGTTAAGGCAGACATTACGAGAAACTCATGAAAAAAACATGATGTTGAGGCAGCAAAGTGAACTAAGAAGTGTTTCCTTGCAATAATGGAAACATCGTTGGGTATTTCAACATGTTAACATTTATATACAAATTCATATTGCTCTGTCATCTAAAAATATCCCTAGGGTGAGATGAGAATCAGAGGTCTCAGAAATTAGGAATAGCTCATCCCAAACTCAGAATCATAGAATTCTGCTCTGAGGTTAAATTAGCAGATATTTAAAGATGCCCACTTTGGCAGCCTATACTTTTACAGGTTGATGTTAACTTTTGAATTAAGCTAATGATGCTAGTGGCAGTAATCAGAGCCAATAAAAACAATAAAGCATAGTTTTATTGATGCATTAGAATTTATGCCATATGTTAGAATTTTGTATTTGATAAACATGACTCAGTTAATCTTTGCAAAGATTTTATAAATTTGATATTATCATCATCCTCATCATCATCACGATCCTCATTTTACAGATGAGCAAACTGAGGCTTAGAGAGGGTAAGTCATTTCCCCAACTCTGATGGGTGTAAGTGGAGAAGTCAGGTTTGACCACCACACTGTTGCCATAAACCCCAGCCAGAACTGGATGACCTACCAATTAAATTTTCTAAAAAATACACTTAACATAAAGTTTACCACCTTAATCACTTTTAAATGCACAGTTCAGTGGCAGTAACTACATTCACATTGTTCTGCAACCATCACCACCATCCATCCACAGAACCCTTTTCATCTTGCAGAACTGAAACTCTGTACCCACTCAACACACTAACTCCCTTTTTCTCCTTCCCCAGCCCCTGAAAACCACCATTCTGCTCTCTTGTCTCTTAGGAGTTGGACTGCTCTGGGCACCTCAAACCAGTGGAATCACACAATATTTGTCTTTCTGTGATTTGCTTATTTCACTTAGCACATTGTCCTCAGGCTCCTCTATATTGTAGCATGTGTCAGGATTTTCTTCCTTTTCAAGGTGGAACAGTAGTCCATTGTAGGTATGTATCCTGTTTTGTTTATCCATTCATCTCTCTGTGGACACTTGAGTTGCTTCCACATTTTGGTTTATGAATAATGCTGCTATGAACATGGATGTATAAATATCTCTTGAAGTCTCTGCTTTAAATTCTGTTGGCTATATATCCAGAAGTGAAATTGCTAGATTGAATGGTAATTGTGTGTTTAATTTTTTGAGGAACCACCATGCTGTTTTCCACAGTGGCTACACTATTTTACATTCACACCGTCAGTTCACATGGGTTTCAATCACTCCTCCGCGCCCTCACCAACACTTGCTATTCTCTGGTTTTGTGGTAGTGGCCATCTTAATGACTGTAAGATGGTAACCAGTCAACTTTTTACCAGATCATTTGATGCCTGAGGTCTATAGGCCTATGCTCCTCCCAAAGTCATTGTGTTTCCTCCCTCACCTCGTGAACCTTTTTTAAAAAAGTGCAGAATCATTGGAAGTCTAGGACTAGGGAAGCATGGGCAGGAGAACCCCTGAGAGAGAAACAAATGTCCCTCTAGGTAGGGATGCCCCTGCCTGTGTGAAGGACCTCATGATTTAGAAATGAATAGTTATCAAGAATAAAGTAAGTAATGCTTTAGGGTCAGTAACTCTTAAGTGTGTGAAACAGTCTCACTGCAGAAGATTAAAGGTGGAGTTATCACCTGTATGTGACCAAAACAAGTCAAATTCCCAGAACAGTGGAGAGAACCAAAAGGCTGAAAGCTATGTTTTAATTCTAAAGGCTTTGTTGTGAGCCCCAGAGCCACACACTGTATGTATAACCCACCGGGTAGATGCAGCCAAGTAGAGGAAATTATAAGGAAGTGTGAGAAATTTTATCAGTAGTTTTATTGTTATATGTCAGCTTGATATTATGGTGTGTGACTATATTAAATACTTGTATCCCCCTCTAGAATGTAAACTCCCCAAGGGCTAGCCTTCTATCCATGGCTATGTTCCCAGCTACTACAGGAGGGCCTGTCACATGGGAGGCCTGGTAAATTGTGCAGAATGAATGACTCAGGGCTGTCCTAGGGACATACAATGGAGCTGTATGTCCCTCTAGGGAACACCTAGACTTGGGGGGGTCTGAGATGGCCAGAGAAAGTGACGCCTCAGCTGATACTTTAAGGATAGGGTTGTCATGAGCCAGGTAAGGTGGGAAGAGCTTTTGTAGAATGGCTTGGCAGCATGCAAGCACAATATTCTAGTGAAAGAAAGGAATACGGTCTGGTCTCAATGTAGCAGGGGAGTAGAGGATAGCAGGGTGAGCCCGGAGGCATCCCCTCCAGCCATATTTTTGGTGTCAACTCTCTGGCTTTAGTTCAAGTACAAAGAGCAGACCCTTGATTGCCCCTGGCTCTCTTACCCTCTGTCCCATCTCCAGCCTTCTGAGTTGTTCACATCCAGTGAATGCTGAAAT